TGTGTCTTGTAGAATCCCGGATATCATCTCTTCAAGTGGTGTGATGAGGCGATGCTAGAAGAGATTGCAGATATTCGGCATGATTTGACCGAGATGCAAGGCCGGAGTGGTTGGACTAGAACCATGAACCGGATTCACTCGACTGAGATTTCCCAGCTACAGGAATCGGTAAGCAACCTGAAGGAGGAAATGGTTGAGGCAAGGAGGTCTCATGCTCTCCTTTATGAGATGGTTTGTGACTTGGTTTTGAAGGAAATGGATAGGGAATTGGAACAGACGCGACGAACTAAGATATTTAAGGAAGTTAAGGACATGGTTGTTCTATCTGTTCTTGCTGTGGCCTCGGTTTTTTTAACTATCTGTCTGTTCAAGTAGTTACGATTCATGGTTGTAATCAAGACTTACTCAATTTTCCGAAAAAATATGTGGTTACACCAAATGATACTGAGTATAACATATTTTTGATTTTTGGGATTACATGTGGTTACACCAAATGATACCGAGTCTTAGAAATTCTCAATTATCCGATAAACATATGGTTACACCAAATTATACCGAGTATTACATATTTTGATTTTTGGAAGTACATGTGGTTACACCAAATGATACCGAGTCTTACAAATTTTCAATTATCCGATAAACATGTGGTTACACCAAATGATACCTAGTATTACATATTTTCGATTATCCGATAAACATGTGGTTACACCAAACGATACCGAGTATTACATATTTTCGATTTTTGGAAATACATGTGGTTACACCAAACGATACCGAGTATTACATATTTTCGATTTTCGAAAATACATGTGTTTACACCAATTGATACCGAGTATTAGGGTTTCCTTATTAGGGATTCCTTATGTATCGACTGAGATAATATAGTAGATAGAATAACACAAGAAATTTTACTAATAATTTTTTTGTAAATAAATATATTACAGTCATAATATTTAAATAATAAAATATTTTACAACGGAAAATAGTAAAACATAAAATTTATTATTTTATTGTGAAAAACACCATGAATTAATTCATGGTGTGTGCCTCGGTCATCAGGCGGGCCTCCTTCTTGAACCGCTCCGGTTCCAAGACGCACATGCATGCGATGTCTGCAAGGTAGTTGTTCTCTTCCTCGACCTTAGGGTGAAGCAGCATGTCATGGAGCGCTTGGAGGAGTTCCTTCACCGTCGTTCCAACCTTCCAGGTAGCGGTGATGAGTAGGGGATGGAAGACGCGGGGTTTGTCGATGTTGGGGTGTAGAATCGGCGTCTTCCACGACACCATTGGTGGCTTGAAGGGGTAATCCGGTGGGAAACGGATGGAGATGAAGAAAATGCCCCCTTCGTATGGACTACTAAGGGGGCCTAACAACATTTCTTGCCATTCATAAATGTCTTCCGCCACCGCCCCTGCACTGAACCCACTCGCCGGAAACCACACCAACTCCCTCAGATGAGTCATGATCCATGCCTTAGGGGCCATTTTGAAGTGATAAAGAGAGCAACGATAGCACTAAATAGAGAGAAGACGATTTAGAAGATAGATATGAGTGAGAGAGAGAGCGAATTATATTTATGGAAAGAGAAAGGCAAAACCCTAGGGTGCAACTCATATAAACCCTTCAAAACCGTTCACCCTTATCGTGCAGAGCAGTTAAAAGTCACATCTTTCTCTCCCCTAATAAACCCGAAAATATTTATTTACTTAATGTATTGGTAAAAATCAAATACAGTGTTGGTAGTTGTACCAGTCTTACGGCAGTTAATGAAAGCATTAACAGCCGTAAAACTGGTACAACTACCAACACATATCTTTTAGACAGTTATTATTATATATTTATTTATTCACTTTTACAGAGATAAATAAACGCGTCATTCCCTCTTTCCTCGTTTTCCGTCCATGCAACGCGTCTATACAATAAATAAATCTTCTCAAGTTAGTAAATGCTGAGTAGACAAATATCATCCAGGGAACATTGTCTATACACTAAAAATATTAGTAGTCTTCCCCACAAAATTTAAATTTGTAAAAACTGAATACTATTGCCCACTCTATAAAAAGACACTTGAGATATTGTACTTGTAGAATTATTCAAGTAGTCTCATCGTTTCTAACAATACATAAACAAAATGGAGAAATCAAATGGAAAAAAATATGATGAGAATGGTCTGCTAATCATCAACCCACCACCTTTGAACATGAGATTTGGTGTGGTGGAACCTAAGTCGCCACCTTTGCCAACTGATTCTGAGATCGAGCAAGTAGAGCTATGGGAACAATTGAAGTAAAATCTTCCAAATGTAATATATTCTCTCTGTTTAATGGTTTATAAAATATGTCATGATCATGCGTGAAAGTTTATATATATTTTTTTTCTTGAGGAAAAGGACAAAAACATCTCAGTCGATAAACCTCGCCACAAACGTTGTACAAAACCGGAACACGAATTGATTCTGGATCTGGAGATATGATTGAAGTGCATGCATTACGGATTCGTGGAGAGAGAAATTTCAAACATGGACACATCCGAATGGGTAAGTAATTAGTCATTTTTTGGTTATGACAAATCTAAAATAAGTTGAAATCTATATGACTGGAAAATAATCAGTTGATGTTGTTTGGTTTTTAAAATTTTAATTGTAGACATAACTCATGATTAAGTAATAATATTGAATACAAATTTAGGCTACATGATTTTTAAACATAAATGAGATTTTCTATGTTTCTGTTCGAAGGGAGAGATGAAGAAGATAAAGAAGAAGAGGTCTGGAATGTCCTCGAAATTCGAATGAAGCCTATTTTTTTTTTTTTTTGAACAATTCATATATGTAATCTCCTATTTTTTTCCTTAGAACCTTGATATTTAAGGTAATTTGATAATTTATCTTTGGAGAAATTATTTATGGTTGGTTTAAAATTTTAATAAGAAAAATTGACGATAACTTGATGATATATAACATGCTAACATTTTAGTAAGCCATACATAATGTTCGAATATCCCAGTATATGAGTAAAAATCAATCAGTAGAAACTCTATAAATTAATATTCGATAAATTAATAAAATCGATTAATTAATAAATTTCTTTGGTCCCAAATTTATGTTTTGGTTCAATTAATTTCTTTATAAATTAATGACTCTTTCAAAAATATAAGAGTCCCAATGTTATTAATTTAGAGGATAGAGTTTTTACTGTATATTTTCAATAACGCATTAACGAGAGTTGCAGTTATTCCGATATTTCTCTCTCTCTCTCTCTCTCTCTCATACGGTCGCATTTATTCGACGTGACTACTCACTTCCTCTCACTTCCTCCATTTTCTATTATTTAAGTTCACAAAGAAGTTCCAAAATCCATTCTACTTCTTCATTACTTTCCCAAATCCATCACTTTTTCCTTCCTCCTCTCTCTTAGGGTTTCTCTCATATTTTCCTTTTATATTACAAAATCCATCATTTTCTCTTAGGGTTTCAGAACTTTTCTCCACAAAACTCGGCCTCGACCACTTTCATATATAAATCCATGGCAGAGTACTCCTACCTACTAGCCCTACTAGACGAACTACTGAAAAATGTTCTAGCGAAGTCGGCTAACACTATTGGTGACCTTATACGGATTCGCTCGATTTGTTATAGGTTCAACGACTGCACCAGAGGCCCTGGCTTCTACGCTGAAGTTGATCCCTTTAATATGGGTCATCCAGAGGATCAAGATGTCCATCTCATCATCGATGTCTTCAGAGAGTTCTATGATGCACGAAATCCAGGCATGATTTTCATGCGAGGTATGCAACTCTTTTTTCGTCGAAAAGATTTTGAAGGGATTCTACTGATCAAGGAAGCGGCAGATAGAGGGTACACACGTGCAGTATATGTCTACGGGATGTTCATGAAACTTGTTATGGAACATCTCGAGGGTGATGAGTATCTCAATAAACTAAGCCGGGAAACAATAAGGAAGTGCACCCGCAGCCTCGTTGAAGAAGTATATCTTGGTTGGCCAATGGGATTGCCAGAGATATTCAATGAAGGCCACCGTCGCTTTTTACCGCGCCTCAATACTCTTATCCACTGTCTGTGCGGTACAGTTAACCGATGGGAGCGTTGGTGGAATGATGAGTATAAACCAGGGAACATCTGCGACTACTGCTTCTTAACTCGTGAATGCGGAAGGTTCTTCCTATATGTGTACCGGGTAGTTAGGGTTTTTCATGATATGGGAGACTGGTGAATGTGTCTGATGTTTTCTGTCTTATGTTTTTTTGTTTTTTGTACTTTCTTATGTTCTGGATTCCGTTTGTGCACATTTCGTAATGTTTAGTACTCCCTTATGTTGTGTACAAACATTATTCTAATAATTTTAACTCGAACTTTTTAGGCCTAGTATTCCACATATATAAGTGGTTACACCAAATGATACTAAGGTGTTACACCTAATAATCAATGTTCTAGAAGTCGGTCTAGGCGGCCGCTTAGGCACCGCCTAGGCGCTAGGCGTCCATAGACCGCCCGCTTAGGGTCTTCGCATTTATATACCGTAGCAGTTACTTTTTAACCGTTTTATATTTGATATTTATAAAAAAATTATGTTTTTTATGTGTAATTTGAATTTTGAATATATATTTCAGATTTATAATATGTAAACTTTATTATTTATAAGCAAACCATGTAATTTTATATATTGCATTCTATAAACTATATAATAAATTTATTTATTTTGTAAACGCCGTAAACGCCTAAAACGACTAAAAATCGCCTAGACTCCGATTAAGCGTTCTAGGCGCTAGGCGTTGTATCACCGCCCGCCTAGCGCCTAGCGCTTTGTTGAACACTGCTAATAATACTATGTTATACCATTTATATGTGGTTTCACCAATAATACCAAGTTTTCCCAATATTTGGTTTTCAGTAATCCAAATTCAATAATAGAAATAGAAGTACACACCCTAATTCAGTTTAATCCAAATACAAATACATATATCAAATATCATAGGAGACTTAACGTCTCTGCCTTGTGTTTGGCCCTAGCTTCGATTGCTCTTGTTTCCGTTTACCTGCACCCACTTCTGCGTTCACAACGTTAGCACCGTCTGGTTCTACCTACACATACCAAGTAATACAACATAGTGTTACAACAAAATATTAAGTATTACCAAAACAATGGATATTACTCTTCAAACTTCAATACCTCTTTACTTCTAAGCAGGTACGGAGATCGGGCTACAAGCTGCTCCGCCTCTTTCAGCTCTGCCTCATTCATCTCCGGCTCATTCTGCACCGGCTCTTTCTGCTCCGCCTCTTTCTGCTCCACCTCCTTCTTCTCCGCCTCCTTCTGCTCCGCTTCCTTCTGCTCTGCTTCCTTCTGCTCCGCTTCCTTCTGCTCCGGCTCCTTCTGCTCCGGCTCCTTCTGCTTCTTCTTCGGCTTCTGCTTCGGCTGTTTCTGCTTCCTCGCTTTCTCAGTTTTCACCAGACTTTCAAGTTTCTCTCTAGCTTGATCATGTTCATGTTCTACATCATTTCGAAAAACTTCTCCTCCCACATCTCCTGGTCCTTCCCTTTCTCTTCTTGTCTCTTTTACATATTGTTCTACAGAGCAAAGTCTTGTATCAAAGCCATCCATTCGGGCACTGATTCGGAGAAACTGAGCGTCCATACTTTTCTGCAAGCTCTGAAGCTGTTCCACAAATCCAAGAGGCGCCACCTTTTCCGTCCCCTTATTATCTCGGGCATCAACATCGATCTTGCATATCTCTTTCCAGAATATCGGCTTCTTTTCCTCAACTAAATGCCTCGTCCAATTTTCAGGAACGATATCACCAATATCTTCCTCTTCATTCCTCTCTATGACTCCAGCAAGCATAATTACCTCATACTCGGATGGTTGCAATATACTCTCGATGACCCTAGTGTTACCGAGTGTTTTATAGAGTTCCGACAAAGGGAAACCTTTTAGTGTGAATGGTTGGAACTTCTGCCTGCACATCCGGGGACAATCCCTCCCTGCTCCTCTAACATCTTCTCTGTATTTGTTCTTTAGACATGGGATGGCCTCAAAGGCTAGCAACTACACATAAACCCAACAAATTACACTTACGCTCATAGTATTACATAGTTACAAATTCTTTATAATGTGACATACCTCCAAGGGAGTAACAAAGCTTGGAAATGTCCAGGCATCTGTTCCGACGACCCCATTGAAATGCCTCATTGTGTGCTCAATCTCCTTCATATTTACATCGAATGAATACCTGCTCCAAGGAAACCTTTTACAAGCCTCGAGATCATCCACAATCCTCAGGAATAAGTGGTCAACAGATGGTGCTCCCTTACCGGTTTTCGTTTTCCCACTAATTATAGAGGATAAGAAGTAGACGACACACATTCAACCGATCAAGATTAACTAGTCCTCGCATTGACTTTAGCTTTTTCTCAACAGAAGCAAGGGAGTGGACGGTTCCCTGGAAATATCTATTCTTAAACGAAGAACTTCCTATGCTCTCATAGTCCTCTGGGTATGGGAGATAGTTTAATCCACCCAAAATGGCATGCTCTCTAAGGGAATAGCGAATTGGTACGCTATTCACTACTGTCCGAAGAAGAAGCAACCACATTCCCATCATCTTGTGTGTTGTGTCCTCATGCATGGCCCTATGCATATGCCAAAGGTGCTTGAACTGTGGGTGTTCTGTAAACCATAACAGCTCATGGGGTTCAAGGTCTAGGGACTCCAATTTTGTAACAGCTTTGTGGATATAACATCTTGTTCCCAGCTTTATTGCATTATGATACTGAATGGGCTCGAAGAACATTCTCACGGGTGGCAATGGCTGGTTCTCCTCCTCCTCAGCCTCAGCCTCAGCTCCCCTCCACAACACTATCTGATTATTACCCGTCTCTGATTCGGCAATTCCTTCTACCATTTTCTCCTGCGACGATTCGGAATCTGAGTACAGTTCTGGTCTAGCATATCCAAACACTCTTTCGTTGCCTAAATCCATGACTCCTATTTTGTAATTGCCAACCGAATAGAGAACATATAAATCGAATTTTGGATTCTACACAAAACCGAGTTGAAATCTACAAAGTAATCTAGATGGAAATTAGAAATCAGAGGACGAAGAAGAACAAACCTGATTTAGCGAGGGGTTGATTCAAGACAGGCAGCAGCAAATCACTTGTAGTTGTCCCAGAGAATACTAGGCGAAGACGACGACGAGAGGACGATTTCGAAATTTGAATTTTTTTTTCTCGGACTTACCACAATTTTGACCCTAAACCCGATTTCTTCGGATTCAATCTGATATGACAGACTGGATGTAGATCTTCGTGGTTGGGTTAGTAAATATGAAACTTTAGTAAGGACCTGCCAGTATTTGATCGCTTTTCTTCCTTTTTCTTGCTTTAAAATAAATCAAAAACAAATTAAATATTATGAGGATGATATTTGAGAAGTTCTATAATGCGGAAGGAGTATGCGAGATTATTCCTCATAGATTTGTAGTATATTTCATTAGCCATAGTACTTGACTCCCAATTCCATTTTTTTTTTTTGTATTTTCTGTTTTTCCCTACAATAATTTTTTTTTAGACTGAAACTTTTTATTTTGGATCAATTCTTGTAGGCAATACCAGTAAATAATAGAAAATAGAGAATCAAGTAATAAAGGTAACAAAGTATCTTGGAGGTTTCTGATAATCATATACTCAAAATTTGTAACTGGAAGAGAATGAAACATTGTAATTGAAAAGAAAGGTTGTTTGATTTTATAAATGCATGATGATAATACTTACAAAACTTATATATATATATCCTGTGGAAGACAGAGAAATCTCATATGCAGAAATAAATAAAATCCACATATGCTTTTTATTTTGTTTTCCTTCTATTTTTTTTTTATTCTTTTCCTATTTTATTTGTTCCGTACAGAATTCTATCCATATTTTTTTGATATTTGTCCATTTAAAATATATTTATTTTATATTTAAGTTTTTTAATATAAAATAAAATTATCTTTTTTTTTAATTTAAACTACATAAGTCTTGGCCAATGTAAATTTTGTTTTCCAAATAATTGTTTTTTTAATGAAAAAAGAGAGTATATGGCAAGAAAGACTACAATAGCTCCCTTTTAATTGTATAGATTTGTTTCTGTTTGGATACAAAAATATAAAGTTTGTATCTTCTTAAATGGTATAGATATCTTGCATATTTTAAAAAATTAATACACAAAGGATTGCAATTCTAAAAAGATAAGTCTAACTCTCTCCTGCATATTCTTTATAATATAATTATAAATTAATTTCGAATATTTGAAACTTTAAACTGATTAATTAAGATAAAAAATATATTATTTTTTAAAAATATATATGAGTGTTTGGCAACAAAGATTAAAAGTGCTTTCCTTTTAGTAGTATAGAAGGGAGACACAACAAGAAATTAAGCAAACAATGTAAGTTTGATGGATGGAAATTGTAAGCCTTAGGAGAATTTTAAGGAAACATAAATTGCAAATTAGATAATCAGGCAGGCAGATAGTTAAGTTTATTTCTCAAACTTAAATCCCTAAACTAGATAAAGCTCCTCCTAGAGTATTGAATAGTTATGTTACAGATGTATGGATATATAATGTTTGATGGGCAGCTAAGAATGCCTATGATAGCTTTTGAATAGTTCATAGTATCGTCTGCATGTTATATATGTTTATCCCATGAAGTAAATCAATAACGGCAAACAACTTTCAATAAATAGACCAAGATAGCCAAAGTAGGAGCATGGGTGGATCCACCTGATCCTGTACTATTTGATCAGGCAGTTGTATGAGTTCTCCAAAACTTCTAAGTAAAGTAGATATTCTTTTGGTGACAGATAACACCGTATTTTTACAACTTTTATGGATCATAATTGTATCTTATGCAGGTGTTTTAACTCTGTTTTCAAAAGTTTTAAAAGTTTTTTCAATGTTTCAGAGTTTCAAAAGACTTTACAGGAAACTTGGGCAAAAGATATGCAATTTGGAACAAATGAGCAATTTTAGATAAATGCAGACCATCAGAAGTATGATAAGCGATGAAGACCTTCTCACCGTCTGATCACCCCCAAAATTTGAGACAACATAGATGATCCAACCAGATTTCTAATGCACTTGGTTTGGTGAAAATCCAACGGTTAGATCTTCAGATAATCCCGATGCAAGAATGACAGAAAATGCAGTTCCGGAAGAGAGCCATGTGCCGGGACCGCGGCCAATACCTGTTTTCCCGCGGGTAGAGCCACCGCGACCGCGGACATTGGTCGTTCACTTTCCATACGACTTAATTAAAGCCCATATCAATTCTTTTCGTTATTTTTGAAGCCCTAAGTGTCCAGGACAACTCCAGAAGCTATAAATACCCTCTTTAGATCATTCTAAAGAGAGAAGGCCAGAGGAGACCGAAAGTTTAGACAGAAAGAGAGAGAGAGAGTTCGTGTGGGTGCTTCACAAACCCTAGGAGCCGTCACCTCTGAAGGAGGAGCCGTCGAGGAGAGCATCATTGCACCTCCATCTTCGATTCCGTTCTTCGTTTTTCTTCCCTGTTTTCTTTAATTTCCTGCAACTTTCAATACTCTGTGATGATTGTTTACAATATGTTTAAGTAGTTACCCTGTTGGGTTTGAAGGGATTTTTCAAAGGGGATTGAGTGTGTCTTTGCTTATGAATCGATAGATTTAGGATTTTTAATCTTCTAGATGTTCTTCGTTTGCCTTTAATCTTACTGCGTGATTCTTTGCTGGCCACTTAGAAGCCGATCTGATATGATATGTTGCGAAAACATTCATTGATTGTCTGAACTAGGGTGAAACGAGCAATTATTCTATACGAGTGGAAACCTACCTTTAGTTGAGTTGTGAATATTGATGAGTCTTGTTCTGCTATTGCATCTTCTCCCTTCCAGGATAAGAGTGGAAACCTACTGATCAGGGTTGCGAGAGATAGTTGTTTAGTGCTGCGAAAGTAGGTTATTCATACTTTTGTGCCTCGAGTTCTAGAACATACGTAGTTGATTACCTTTATCATATGTTTAAAATCGACATAGCTTAGTCATTGAATCCCTGCGAAACCCCTTGATGCCCAACGTGTGTCTTTAATTGCTTACAACCTTCAATTCTATTTGCTTTTCATTCGCTTTTACTTGCTTCAATTTCGCCTTTGATCTATTCGATTTTTTGCTTTTATTTGCTTTCGTTTTCAATTGCTTTTGTTTACTTTGCTTTCTAGTTTAGATTTAGTGACAACCAAAACCCAAACCTGTTTTGTTCTAATCTGATTTAAGCACTGCTGTGAATTCGTACTGAAACAACTAAGTCTCTGTGGATCGATACCCTAAGTACTACAGCGCACTTCTGTGCACTTGTAGACATTTAGGGGTTATAAATTTAAAACCTGATGCTTAGTAGAACAAACCAACAACCCCGTTTACAATCGCAATCAAGTTTTTGGCGCCGTTGTCGGGGACTTTGATTTGTTTCGTTGCGAATCCCAGCTTAAATCCATTAGAATACTTGTTTGCTTTTACTTTTTCTTTTGAATTTTTCAGGTTTCTCTGCGATGAGAGACCGGGAACATGTTCCCGGTACTCTTCGTGATCCACCATATCGTGTGGATGGTGATCCAAGCGACGATGACCTGACTGATGATGAGTTTGAAGAACCGATCTATGATGACAATGAGCTAGTCGGATCGGCAAAACATGAAGATGATGATGAACTGATTGGAAGTTTCGATTCACTCGAAAAATTCTTAGGAGATCGAAGAGTTATTCAACCAGCCTTACCAGAGGATGGAAAAACCGAAATCAAGGTAGCCTATATCCATTTAGTTCAACAAAATCAATTCTATGGTTACATATCCGAACACCCGATTGACCATATCGAGACGTTCGAAGAATTATGTGCAACCATTACAGTAAATGGGGATTACCACAAGTGTAGTCTTTTCCCATTCTCTTTGAGAGACAAGGCCAGAAAGTGGCTAAAATCTTTAGAACCTGCTTCACTAAAAACGTGGGCAGCGTGTAAACTGCTTTCCTAAATCATTTTTACACTAGAAATCGTTCAAATCTCTTAAGAAACAAGATAAGAACTTTTAAACAAAAAGAAGATGAAGATCTTTTAGATACTTGGGAAAGATTTAGGGAATACCAAAGAGATTGTCCACACCATGGATATACCGACGAATACCTGCTGGGTATCTTTTATCAAGGTATTACTCCAGAGTTACGACACTCTTTCGACACAGCAAGTAATGGAGACTTCTCAACTAGATCTGTAGAAGATGCTCATGTTTTCATCAAAAATTTCGCAAACAGCATCCGTAATCAAACAACTTTTGGTAATTCCGCACTTCCTGAGAAGAAAGAAGAGATCTCGGAAGTTATAAAGTGTCTCCATCACATAATGAGTCATCTTAGATTGCAACAACCAAGCAAGGTACACAATACGTGTAACTTTGATGGTTGGGACAACCCAATGGATTCTTATGATCAAGAGATGATGAACACTCCAGTAGTCTATCAAATCCAAGATTTTCCATTCGTTTCTGATCACCGCGGGTCCATTCATTCGGACCGCGGCAAACAAAGCTTTCACCGCGGTCGTGGCTTTTCTGACCACGGCCAAGACCTGTTTCATCGTGGTCGCGAGCCTTCAGACCGCGGGAAACCGTCTTCCGAACTTGTCTGGAAAACACCTTCTGAACCAATCTTGGCTATTGAATCTAATCCTGTTCCATATCCTAGTTTTCCCTCTTCTGAAGCTGAAAACCTAAACAAAAAAAGTTCTAGAGCTTGAAAAATCTAGGTCTCAAAAGATTAGTGATCTTAGATCTGAACAAGAAACGATGCAAGAGGATTTCAATGGAAAATTTTCCACCCTCCTTAGCCTGATGATCAAAACTAATTCTAAAAACTTAGATAAACCTGAGGAGGAGCCAAGTGAAAATTCTTTCGAAAGCTCAAGTGAA